TGAAAGGGACCCAGTTGGCACATACCAAAATTTAGCTTCCTATTCACATTTTTTACTTTCTTTTCCTCGTTTTCATTTTCACTTCTGAATCTTCCCCTTGTTCTTCTTCATCTCTCCTTTGCTATTCTGCTCTCCTGCCTTTCTCATTCCTTAAAAAAAAATTCCTTTAGTCACCTGCCAAATTCTGCCTTTAGAATGAGTATTCATTCCTCTGTGCAATGTCACAGATCTGCAAGATTTTTTAAATGAGCTGCTCAGCTCTGATTCCCACAAATGACAGAGTCGACTTTTTTCTTGTAAGAAAGGTTGTCACACTATCCGCCAATTACCACCATCTGTGACAAACTTCAATAAATGAAAAAGTTACCTTGATACATCAGAGGTTAGCTTCTCGAGGGGTTGCCAAGTGAATTATGAGAAGCAACTCTTGAAGACTGAGTCTTTGTCCTTTCAAGTCATGAATGACGCGTGACATTTTTCCATTAACTGAATGGAAATTTACCAGCCTGAGATGCTCAATTTAAAAAGAACAGCCACTAAGGAAAGAAACATAGGAAGGATCCTGCTACCGAACTGTAACAAAGCGCCCTTTTGAACTTTTCTGGGTCTGAGATTATGTTGCCCCATGTAGCATGTACAGTGATGGGAGCAGTCACCTGTCCTTTCCGTTCCAACAGAAGAATGCCTTCAAGCAGTATTTTCCAATTACTTAAGGAAACATGAAAGAGTAGCAACAAAAGAGGAACCAGAGCCGCAAAGAGAAATCAAAGTGTTCAGCTCAACAGAGCCAAAGAATTTGATTGCAGGATTCAGTGATCACACGCTCCAGTCAGGAGGGAAACTGTTGGACTGAAACAAATGAAAAGTTGTGCAAGCCTCTGGCGGCACAGGTGGCATTTGACCCTGTTTAAAGATCAACCCAGTGACTGGCGTAACGAAAAGAGTGTGACGTGAGGAAACGCGGTGCAAATGCTGGAGCTCACGGTCTTTCAAAGACATTCTTCCTAAGAGCATGAGAGTGAGATATTATTCTGATGAACAAAAGGAGTTAATCTGGAAAATTCTCTGTATGAAATCGGTCCCTCCATGCAAAATGTCCCAGTGGTAATTAGAACAGGTGCTTCTGAATCAGGCAAAGATGGGGGTCAAAAATGAATATAGTTTCCCCAAACAGACTGCTGGGGAATATGCTTTAGATCACATGCTAACAGGTTCAGCTGGAGGAAGTGGAGAAGTATCTCTGAAGGCTCCAAGAAAGTTAAACAAGAATAACAACATAGAGTGCACTGTCATTCTACCCAAATCCTATGACCTCAGTAGCCCCTCGGCCTCTTTAATACCAATGCTGCTGGAGACAGTCAGGTCCCCTGACACAAGAGAAGCCGAAATCACCATTCCAAAAACTGTCCCAGCTGAGTCTGCTCTGGCATGACTTTGAGGTTAAGTATGAGGGCAAGTAAATACATTTTTGTAACATGTAAAACTTACTATGTATCATTTTAATATAAATTATTTTATTAGTAAAATTACAGAAGTCTTGATGTCCTTCCACGGGCACAGCTAGAAAAGGCCACAGGACAGCCGGGCGGTGGTGGCGCACGCCTTTAATCCCAGCACTCGGGAGGCAGAGCCAGGTGGATCTCTGTGAGTTCGAGGCCAGCCTGGGCTACCAAGTGAGTTCCAGGAAAGGCGCAAAGCTACACAGAGAAACCCTGTCTCGAAAAACCAAAAAAAAAAAAGAAAAGGCCACAGGAGAGGAAGGTAAACAAAAAATATGTAGTTATGAAAACATAAATATAGACATAGATATACTTTATACCATATTAAAATTGAAGGATCAGATATTTTGACGGCATTATAAAGTAAATGATAAAGATGAAGCATATTGGGGAAAAACATATAAAGAATAGATAATCTAAAGAATAATAGCAAAATAAGATAAAACAAAAACAATCATAATAGGATAAAATGAACCAACATAACAAAGAGAGCCAAAGAAAAAAACACACATGTAAAAAACAAAACAAAAGGCAAAGATACACACAGGACTCCCATAAAAACACAAAACTGGAAGCCATAATATATATGCAAATGACCTGTAAGGTAAAGGAAAAAAAAGTAAACAATCATGAAATTATGAGACAAAGAACCTCCAAAGATGCCACTGAGTTCATTTTGTGTTGGCCATCTACTGCTGGGCATGGGGTCTGCCCTGGGGAGTGGATTATATACCCAGTGAGACTCTACTCGAGAAAGAAAATTTTTTTCATTTGCAAGTGGCCATCCACTGGATATAGATTCTGATTTAGGGATGGGGGCTTGTGTCCATTTCTCCTCTCAGTATTGGGGCCCCATCTGCTGCAGACCCATGCAGGTCGTGTGCATGTTGCCACAGTCTGTCTGAGCTCATATATATGCATCGGTTGTACTGTGTTTCCTTGATGTCTTCCATCCTCCCTAGCCCGTACACTCTTTCTGCCTCCCCGAGCTCTGAGGGGGAGGGATTTGATGGAGACATCGCCTTAATTACTCAGTGTTCCAAGGTCTCTCACTCTCTGTGTGTTGTCTGGCTATAGGTCTCTGTATTTGTTCCCATTGCTGTAGAAGGAAGCTTCTCTGATGATGGCTGAACAAGGCACTGATCTATGAGTTGAGTATAACAGAAACCCATTAGGACTCATTTTATTTTTTTTTAACATAACAGTAGCATTTGTTTTATTTTTATACCTTTGGCCTATCTAGTCTTGGATTCTTGGCTATTTAAGCGGGTATGGGTTCTATCTCATGGTCTTAAAATCCAACCAGATATTGGTTGGACTCCCACAAGCTTTATGTAACTCTTGTACAAGTGCATCATGCAGGCAGGACACCATTGCAGATCAAAGAGTTGGCAGCTGGGTTGGTGGTTGCTTTCTTCTTTGGTAATGTACAGAGGTACATCCAGTACCATGGACGCTAGTCAGCCGGGATGAAGGCTCTAGGTAGGCATCAGCTTGACTTCTCTGTGTTCAGTGAGATGTGTAGGTGTTGACTTCAGCCATCAAGCCTTACCATCAGTGAGTGGAGAGCCTTAGCAATAGCCTGGGTTGTTTGGGGGTTAAGTCACTGATAAGCAAGCAATAAGAACTTTGTATCTTGAGTTTTCTTTGGCCAGAAATGCAACTGGATATAATTCATTCCCAGTATTGGAAGATTCATTTGGTGACAAGCGATGTCCAGTTGGGGCTGTCTCCCCCATTATTTGGCAATTTTTATTTAGGCCACCTTCATATATGTATATATTTTAGGAAACTTCTACTGCATTAGGTTAATGTATGTCCCCTCAAATAGCTTAGTTTTAGCTATCCCTCTCCATATTTCCATCTGTGCCCCCTCTCTTCTCTCACACTCCCCATTTGATTGTCCCATTCCAGTCTCCCCAACTTGTCCATTCATAACTATCTATTCTATTTCTCTTCCTACAGAGAAACATCTCCCTCCACACCAGTCCCTTACTCTCTACCTACCCTCTGCGCTTTTGTGAACTGTAGCTTGGCTATCATTGACTTAGTATGTAACATCCACATATAAGTGAATACATACTATATTTGTCATTCAGGGTCTGGGTTGCCTCACTCAGGATGATGTTTTTTCTAGATACAACCATTTACCTAAGAATTTCATGGTTTCATTTTTTTAAATGACTGAGTAGTAATCCGTTGTGTAAATGTACCACATTTTCTTTATCTATTCTTCTGTTGAAGGACATTTAGGTTGTTTCCAGTTTCTAGCTGTTATGAATAGAGCTGCAATGAACATGGTTGAGCAAGTATCTCTACTGTAGGATGGAGCATCCTTGGTGCATATGCCCAAGAGTGGTACAGCTGGATCTTGAGATAGGTGGATTCCTATCTTTCTGAGGAACCACCATACTGGTTTCCATAGTGGCTGTACAAGTTTGCACTCCCACCAGCAATAGAGGAGTGTTCCCTGTATTCCACATCCTCGTCAGCATGAGCTGTCATTTGTTTTATTGATCTTGGCCATTCTAACTGGGGTAAGATAAAATCTCCAAGTAGTTTTGATTTGCATTTCCCTGATGACTAAGGATGTTGAACATTTTAAGTGTTTCTCAGCCATTTGAGTTCACTCTTTTGAGAATTCTGTTTAGATCTGTACCCCAATTTTAATTGGGTTGTTTTCTCAACATTGAGGGCTTTTTTAAGTTCTTTATGTATTTTAGATATTAGCCTTTTATCAGATGTATAGTTAGTAAAAATCTTTTCCCATTCAATAGGTTGCTGCTTTGTCCAGATGATGGTGTCTTTTGCTGTGTGGAAATGTCTCAGTTTGATGAGGTCCCATTTATTGATTGTTGATCTTGTGCTTGAGCTGTTGGTGTCCTTTGAATTTCCTCTTATTGAATTCTCTTGGCTTACTTTGAATCCCCAAATCAAGTTTCAACATAGAAACCTGAGACAACCATCAAATTGTGTAAGACCATGCCTCTCTTCAGTTCAAAACACTTCAATGGGCCCAACATGTCTGAGAGTAAAATCAAAATGCTCCCATTTCTGTGCTCTGTTTCTAACCATGTGACCTCATCCCTGCTTCCTTTCCCTAGCCCGCGCAGCTCACTGGCTTTCATTACCTCTCCCTGTGCATTCCAGTCCATATGTTGTCCTGAGAGCTTTTTCCTACTGTTCCCTTAGGTGTACACCCAATTAAGTGCCCACTTTCCTTCATTAGGCCCTCCCTGGAATTCACCTCCTTGGGTCTTCAATGGCCACCATAACATTTTTCAATCTCCTCTGCAACCTTTCTATGTTCCATCTGACCATTACTTTTCCTTTTCTCACTCAGCAGCTTCTAACATTCTAGACATTCTGCTTTTGTGTTTACTTTCTGCCTTTACCATTCTACAAGGTCGGCTCCATGACAACAATGGCTTTTGTCCCCCATACCTGGAACGATCCCAAGGCACACCACTGTTTGTTGAGTGAATGAAGTAAACATTTGAATGAAAAACACGTGGCTCTCTGTTCTTTATTTCGTGGGGGCTCATTGGGCACTGTTCTTACTCACCCTAATCATTCATTACAGACATTGACAGATTTGGATGGTGAATGGAGAAAGACAAGAAAGGAAATAATCTCACACTTAATCTTTCCATCTGCGGACCTGCCATTCTTCAAAAGAAATGACACAGTAAAGATGATTTGAATCAGATTACCTCTATAGGTCCATGGCTGTTGATGCTCAACCAAGGTAGCATGATGACCTAAGAATACAAGTTGACTATTGGTCATTCTTTTCTGCTTTTCTGAAACTGGGGTTCAATGTATAGCCCTGGATAACCAATTGTGTCCCACAGTCCTCCTGCTGATGCTCCTGAATAGTCCCTAAGGTCCTTCTGAGTGCCCAGTCCCAGGGGGGTCCTTAGCTCTAATAGTGCCAGCAGCTTCTCAATGCCACACAAAACAAAGCAGCCAAAGCAATCGCATGTACTGGTTGTCTATGGAACTTTGCCCAGGTAAGTGACATACGCTTACTATCTCCTTCCCTGTTTAGTGTGTGACATAATCTCAGCATCTAGAAATGGCAGGAAACAAGAGGCTAAAAAATATGCCCCAGTCTGCACTGAGAGGAAGATGGAACATTGTGTAGTTCTGTGCAGGATGCTCAGCCATTGGGGGAGTAATTGGGCTTTGGCGCATTGCTTCCTGGCACGACCTCGGCTGCTCTGCCGAAGCATTCTGAGAGAAGGTTTGTTGTTGCGGTTTCAGAATGGCATTTGAGGGCGACGCTTTGAACAGAGTGCATGTAGGGACAAATGGCAGGAATGGCGAGAAGTGCCATTGGTGTGCACATTCTGTCCCTGAGTCTCAGGCTGTGCCAGGGTTCTTTTGCAGAGGTCTAATGAAAAATGCTATTAGGAAATGTAAAGTGGAAATTCTGACTGCCAGAAAATATGACTTTCACTTGCAGATCCTAACAGGAAGCAGCCAGGGAGGCTGCGGGAGTTACTGCCGTGCCGCTGATGGGTGGCAGGATTATTTTCAAATTGCGAATTAGACCATAATCAGCACTAAAGACCCAATTTGTGCCAAACACGACAAGCGAAAACATTAGTCTACCCTGAAGAAGTGCCGCCGCCAATCTGTGCAAATGCAATGACGACGATAAATCTCAAAAATACATGTGCACAAGTCAATGGATAACTCTGCCTTTCGAACACTTCTAAACCTTCTCATTTTCTGTTTCCCACTCCCTGGAGGGTAAGGGGAGCCAAGAGGACCATTCAGGATGAGAACTGGCTGGGAATGTCTGTCTGTCTGCAATTCATCATGACCTGGAGGAATAGAATAAAAGAGCAGAGTTATTTCTGGGATACTATTGTATTTAGCTTATTTCTAAGACAACCCTAATTAAAATAACAGTTTTGAATAGCCCCTCAGTGAATCTAATGGTTAAATGCCCATTTGAAACTATGCCACACAACCCCATTCTGTCTGAATCACAGCCATGTGTTCACAGAGCTGCAAAGGACACATTCCATTTCATAGGCTTCAAACAAACAACATTCACAGCACACACACACACACACACACACACACACACACACACACACACACACACAAAACATCAAACACACAGGATACAGCAACAAGAAACAACACAAATGTATAATATATTCTTCTATCATATATAAATACATACAAATATATGTTTTATATATAAAATATGTACTATACACACATTGTGTACCAAATACAGCTCATACAGATACATAGCACTTACAAACACATGCCAAGTAACACACACATATATACACCACACACACACATATATACACCACACACAAATTTGCTCACCATATATATTCACATTACCCAAAGTATACACCTAAATGCAAATATGGATACGTGTATAATATTTACACATAACACAAAATGTCTATATCGTGATACAACTTCACATCCCTTAGAAGTACACATCCCACACTCATACCATATCCACAAGCATTATGCACCACATAGAAATTCACTATGGGCATATATAGATGTATGCACACACATACAAATCACATGTAAACCACATAAAACATGTAACCACCATTCACAGATAAATTCGTGTGCTGTGCCATATAGATAATGCCCACATTTACCATGCACACATGCACCTCCAAAATACTTACAATACACACCACATGTACATACCCACCATGCACTATTGCACACATCACGTTTTTCAGTCACCTTCTTCTTACAAAAATTCTGGCATACTTCGCTTTCACCATCACTGCCTGCCACCTTATATCTTAAGAACAACTTAGGGGAAGAAAAACAGTTGGACTCCCCGTTTCAGAGTTACCAGTCCATGGGCGCTGGGTGCTGGGGGCGACAGCAGAGCCGTGCTTCCGACACAATGCAAGAACTAGAACCCAGAAAGGTGCTTTATCACAGTGACCTTCGAAAGCACTCTTTCATAGGAAGTAACAAACTTGAATTTTATCCAAGGCTGGAACTAACCCCCCCCACCCCACACCCCCAGAAAAGGCCTGTTTATCTAGTCTACTACTATATTGTAATTGTTCTTTTGTTTGTTTGTTTGTTTTTCAAGACAGGGTTTCTCTGTGTAGCCCTCGCTATCCTGGATCTCACTCTGTATACCAGGCTGGCCTTGAACACACAGAGATCTGCCTGACTCCACCTCCCAAGTGCTGGGATTAAAGGCGTGCACCACCACTGCCTATTTGGAGCCATGGTACATCACAATGACATGGGGATTGGGTTCAGGGGGTATGTGTATATTAATGTAAGGAAGGCAGTACACACCTGTGCACATGAGTGAGGAGGCCAGAGCACTGCCTTGAAGCTGTGCCTCAGGTGTCCTCCACTGTTTTTTTGAGGCAGGACAGCTCCTTATCACATCATTCACCATGTAGGCCAGGCTGGCTGGCCAGTGACTTTTAGAGACGTACCCATCTCCTCTTCCCTAGCTCCCTGATCTACAGGACTGGCTAGTTTTGAACTAACAAGTTTCTAAGATAAAAAGTATGACAGTTCAAATGACCAGAGCATTAAAAAGCACTCAAATCTCAGGATACCAATGGTCAAGGGAATCACATGCTCCCACGCCCAGCTTTCTTTCTTACTTACTTTCTTTCTTTCTTTTTCACTGGTTCAGGATATTGAAAATACAAGGCAAACATGTTACTAAGGGGCTTTCAACCTTCCTAATGCTGTAACCCTTTAATACAGGTCCTCATGTTGTAGTGACCCCCCAACCATAAAATTATTTTCATTGCTACTTCATGACTGTAATTTTGCTGCTGCTATAAATCACAGTGTAAATATCTGATATGCAGGATAGCTGATATATGATCCCTGTGAAAGAGTTGTTTGATACACACACACCACCAGCACCACCACCACCACCACACGCCCCAGGTTGTGACACACAGGTTGAGAGCCACTGAACTAAATTATCTTCCCATCTTACAACCTGAGTTATAGAATACCTGGAGGAGGGAAGGCCTTACAGACAGCTAAGTTAGGTCCTAGAGTTACCCCATATAAATCCAGCACCCTATGACTACTCTAAAATGTAAATGTAACTCAACAAGATTATCAAAAAGTTTTTCTTGGTAGCATGTGCAAGGAAAAAAAGAACCTTGGAGAAAGTGGAAGACAGAAAAGGAAGGGTGTTGTGGAATATTACTTTAACTGTGTAAAGGTGTGTTACATTTGCTTATGCTGCATTTGTTTAACTATGTAAAGATGTGTTGCTGTTTCCTTGCCTTGTTGTTGCCTTGCCCGCCTAAGGCACCTGATGGGGCTAATAAAAAGTTGAACAGCCAATAGCTAGGCAGAAGCATGATAGGAGGAGAGAGAAGAGGGAGAGAAGAACAAAAGGAGAGAATGAGGGAGAAAGAGAGCCCCCCCCTCAGGGGGCCAGAGCAAGGTAGCCGCCAACCAGACACAAGAAGCAGTGAAAGTAACATATATAGAAGAAAAGAAAGGTAAAAAGCCCTGAGGCAAAATGCACGTGAAGAGAAACAGGTTAAGTTAGAAGAGCTAGCCAGAAATGAGCCTAAGCTAAGGCCAAGCATTTATAACTAATAAGAAGTCTCTGTGTCATGATTTGGAGCTAGTTGGTGGCCCAAAAGAAAAAGCCTGGTACGTAAGGGAAGAGGAGAGATACGGAGGGGAGGGAAGGGGAGGGGGAGGGGAGGGGAGGGGAGGGAAGAGGCAGAGAGTCAGAATATTCAAGGATATTGGGAAGGAAAGCGATAGGTTTAGCAAGTAAGTGTGGACAAAGCTAGCTAGCATTCAAACCTAAGATACTGTTTTTCTTTCTCCTGTGTCTTTTATCTAGCCTAGAGGAACAAATCCTCGGAATAAAAAAAAAATCTACCCTCTAAGGAACAGAATTGTCTTTAGAAGAAAGATAAGAGTTTCCAAAGGTCATGGTAGTACATCACCTCCTTTTCCTTCTTCTAGTCCAGTGGTTCTCAACCTTCCTAATGCTGCACCCCCTTAATATAGGTCCTCATGTTGTGGTGACCCCCAACCATAAAATTATTTTCATTTCTGCTTCATATCTGTAAATTTGCTACTGTTATGAATCATAACATAAATATCTGTGTTTTCTAATGGTCTTCTGCAACCCCTGTGAAAGGGTCACAACCCACAGGTTGAGAACCACTGTTCTAGTAGCAAGGGGTCCAGAATTCCATGGTGTGGAAGCACAAGGTTTTTGGTGAAACCTCAGAAAGGGGATAGAGAGAAGGCCTCCAGGGAGACCATTTGAGCTGTCATGCTTTTACATCTGAGAAGACTGGTCATTTCCAAAGCAGTCAGTGCCCCGTCCACGTTCTCAGGTAAATAAGGGAAGAGCGTGGTGATGGCTCCCCATTCAACCATTGAAAAAAGGCACTGCTTTTCCAGTAAGCAATAAAGAGTGCCACAGAAGGAGGATTATTTACAAATGATTAAAATGCGCGGTGGGAGAGGGAGAAGTTAGACTCATCTGTGTTTAAGGAGCCCGTGTCATTGGTCAATAACACTGAGGAAAGTGGGGAAGGTGAACTCACCTATGGAAGTGATAAGAGGCATTGTTTGACTCTCCATTGTCGTTTGTTTCGATCTTCTCTTACCTCTCCTATCATTTTCTCTCTTGGTACAGTCTCTCCTTGTCAACACAAAGACTGAAAAAAAATTATTCATTTCATGTAAGAGCAGTACCCTCCCCTCCCTTTGTCTTTCTCAGGAAATTAGTGGCTCATGTTCCATTAACTGGAGTGTTTTGCCTTATCTCCTTCCTATAAGTGAAGGGGGAATTTCAATGCCATAATTTAGAATTATTCTGTTCAATTCATCCTAAATGGATTCTGTTCTCCTTACAGCCTTTATCTCTAGACCTCACTAAAGATAGCATTCAGGCTCACCTCCAGGCACACAATTGTCCTCTCTTCAATGCTGAAGTCTTTAGAAAATGTAAGGACATGTGACAAGCTTTTGAATACAGCTCCAGAAATGGCCTCTTTTGTGGCCAAATGGGATTGCTTGCCGTTTTAGAGGCCACTCTCTACATTATTTTATAATTTACTTTCCAGACAAACCTGGGGAAATACAAGTTCCCTAAACTGACCAGACTTGTTCTTTGTTCCAGAACTGTCTTACAGAGATTGGTTACTTTCTCTGATATTTATTTGAAACACAAGTTCTGAAAATACTGTGTAATCATCAGCAGGAAGCCTCCCATAAAGAGAGACCAGGGAGAGTGCATACCAAGAATGCAAGCTAATGTGGCTTTTTACTGTACACAATTCACTTATAGAAGAAAATTTAGAAAGATGTTCTTCTAGGATATTCTAGTTCCTCTGGTTAAATTTTCAAGAATGACACTGGTTTTGATTGGTTGGAGCCTGTACTATTTATACCAATGATTGAGAAGTTTACAGTCTAGATCGATTTCTTATTTTAAAAAATGACTCTAGTCCCAAAGAAGTTGTGATGATATATTGTGTACCTCAATAAAGCCTGCCTGGGGATCAGAGGACAGAGCCAGCCACTAAATTGGACATAGAGGTCAGGCAGTGGTGGCATACACCTTAAATCCTATCACTCGGGAGGCAGAGATCCATCTGGATCTCTGAGGGTTCAAGGCCACACTGGGCTGCATGAGAGAAACAGAACCAGGCAGTGGTGACACATGCCTTTAATCCCAGGAAGTAATGTGGCAGGACACAGAAAAGTATATAAGGCATGAGGAAACAGGAACTTTTTCTCTTTAGAATGAGGATTTTGTAGAGGTAAGCTAGTGGCTGGCTGTTCGGCTTCTCTGATCTTTCAGCTTTCATCCTGATATCTGAATCTGGATTTTTTTTATTATAAGACCATCTAAGATTCAAACAACATCTGGTGACAAGAAGTCAATTTATTTTTCTAAGAATCATATAGATGGTAGCTAACCAAAATTAGGGCAAGCCATTTGAGTTCAGCTTCAGTACACTTTTCATTAACTTGTATGATTATCCAAATGTGTGTAACACAAACTATGTCCTAACGAGACTCCCCTGATCCAAAAAAAAAAGAGGTCTCTATAAATCAATATACTAGTTAATTTATTGTACAGAGCACAATAGTACTCTAGGGCTTCATTGACCACTATCATTTTGGATAAGCACCAATATCTCTTCTCAGACCATAGCATGATCAACACCAAGCCCAGAACAATTTACCCAGAACAACATAAAGAAAATGAAATTTCCAAGGCGTCCCAGATCCTGTCTCCAATCCTCCCTACTAATTCCAGACTGTGCAGTCTCCTGGCTTTCATGAGTAAAACTGGGCTCGTGTAAAAGATGGACATTCTTAGACCTGAGTTTTAGATACCAGCTAGACTAGAGGACAGCAGGCATCTCTTTCAGAATGAAGACCCTGTCATTCTCTCCTCAGATCAAGAAATAAATGGAAGAGACAACCTCACTGACCCTTTCAGGAGCTTCGCTTTCAGTCAGAGATGGATATAGTGAGGTCCACCCACAAAGCAACTCTGACATGAAAATAATGCACCCCAACTTGGAAAACTCTGATAAGCCAGTGTCTTCTCTACACAAGCTTCCAATGGAGTTGAGTCAGTCAACCTATAGATGGCCACTCTTCTATTACAGTGAGATGCTGATTTGTGAGTGAGTACTTACTAAGCCTGTGAGCCAGAAGTAATATGCTTGGCTTCTAGATTTTTACCCGGTGTGTCCTCCGCTTCCTCTTACCTCCCTCCCACTGTCCAGGGGAGAGGTGCTGTAATCACCTGGATACAGGACATAGATGGGGAAATGGTTATATAGGACTGGGGTAACATCCCATTCTTGTTGTCTGCTCTTCACAAGCACTTTAGAAAGAAATAACCTCTCACATTCTTTAAACCATGCGTGGTGAACCCACGTCTTAACAGTTTAGATGTTTCCCACAATGGCACAGCCACGAGTGAGTGCTGAATGGTAGAAAAAGGAGGAACCCACACAGGATGCTTCAGCCCCAGATTCTATCCAATACTCCTTAGTCCACAGAGTTCTGGGGTTTTTTGATGGAGGAATAGATTCAAACTGAGATGTCTCATTTCACAATTTGTCAGATTTGCTGACCACTAAAACCATGGTATTTTAAAGTCAATATATGCTGTAAAATAATTAATGCTAAATTATTAATCCTCAGAATTAATAATATATAGAATCAAATATTTTCAAAATTCCACTAAATTGTTCCATACGTCGGAAACACAGTGCTTTCAGTTAAAGCACTGGGGTCACCAGTACAAAGGAATGAGCATTTATGAAATTTTTACCAGAGAATCTTTAGAATATTCAAGTTGACAATCTGAATGGATTCTCAGGAATGCAAAGTCAGATACCTCCAACAGTATCCTTACAAATTTTATTTTCCAAACTTTTCACTTTACAAGTGAGTTTTTAATCATACCTTTTTTTTTCAACACTGACTCATGTCAAAGTCCCTATGTGAATATGTAAAGCCAAGATCTGATATCCGACCAGCTTCCAGCTTGAAACTAAAGAATAAACCACAATTTGATCAAAATACTTACGGCAGATATTGCAGACTAACGTATCCAACAATCAATGTAATGATGCCTTCCTGTGGAACACAGGCTGGAAAGCTCTCACTTCCCCTAAAGGATTCTGCATGGAATCAGAGTTCTTATGAGTCCTCTAAAATTCTCTCAGCTCCTTGAGATCTTATATCATTCATCTTATACTTATATTTCCTAACCTGGATTCCATGGCTGCACCTAAGCATACTGACTACAAAAGAAATATGTTAATCCTGTTGGGGTTTTTTTTAAGATTAGAGACATGTGGATATAGCATATAATTTTATGGCTGTCTTGTTTTCCTTGGCATTTCTGACTTTATTTTGTTGAAAGAGAAGGAAGGCAAGCTGGGCCGTAGGAGCTATGAGTACTAATCAGATATGCTCAGTTGCTCCTCTCTCATTCCAGGCTGACTCACAAGCCATCTGTGCAGATATGTAGTCATTCTCGCACTGATCTCCATGTGGCAGCCAGTGCTGGATGATTGTACAGGGCAACTGAGTTCTTAGATGGGTGAATGTCTGCTAACTTATAATATTTCGGGGGCAAAAGTATCGAGAACAAAGAAATGCAGCCATCGGAAAGCGTATTCATCAAGGTGTTATGAAGCCAGTGTCACACAGACTTAGAGTTCTAAAAATGTTCCCCAACGCGCAGTAGCTCCTGGACACATCCTCTTAGAGATACAGTTCTTTGTGTGCGTGTCTGTATCTTGGATGGTGGATGCGTGTGCACATACATACAGAAGTCAACATCAAATAATCTCTAGGAGCTGTCCATCTTGTTCTTTGAGACAGGGTCTCTCACAGAAGTCTAAAGCTTGTCAATTAAGGTAGGCTGGCCAACCAGAAAGCCAGCGATCTATCTGCCTGTCTCCACCTCCCCACTGCTGAGAATCCAAGCGTGCCCCATTGTGCCTAACATTTTACCTGGTTTATGGAGATTAAACTGAGATATCCATGCTTGAGCACCAAGCAATTTGGCAACTAAGTCATCTCCCCAGCTCTAGAGATGCAGAATCTTACATACCCATAATTTAGATTCACTGAGTCAGAAATATAGAGGATGAGGCCCAGGATCCTGTGTTTTAGATGGGTCTCCAGCTGACTCTGATAAATGCTTACATTTGAGGACCACTAAGGTAGGTCAGCAGGCCCCAGTTAAGGCAGTTGGATGGAGTTTCAAAAGAGTCATAGCAGGTTAGGAAAGAGGAGAGATTGTTGAAGGGAGAGGTCTTTGATTTCAAATATAGCTGGATTTAGAATAGAAAAGCTATAAATGTAACCCCTTTCACATACACGATGAAAAGATGCTTTAGCAAAGAGAGCATCATGTCGAGACTCCAAATCATTGGCCTTGAACCTTGAAATTTTAACCTAGGATCAAGCAACTTTTAGTGAATTAATTTGTCTGTACATTTGTTTCATCACTTAAAATGAATAAATGGGGTAAAATCTACTCAAACACACCTAGATCCTGTTTTTATCAGTCCTATAAAGATATTCACCTTGGCATGTGATTAGCATCATATTGCTTCCTGCCTTCTCTTTCCAGTATAAGCATGAGACAGAAGTTTCCCAGCATTCTTTTCCTCTATTCTGTGCCTAGAGGAAAATTTCAAAAAGATACTGTACAGACTCCAACTCCCTACTCCAGGAGTACGCTGCAGCTCAACCCAGGTCAGGCAAAATCCACTGACTGTGACAAAGTAACGCACATTAGGAGTTATCGATATCACAGGAATATGTATAAATTACTTACATGTCTACCAAATTATTAATGATTTTGCTCACACATGTGACTTAGTTACCTTTCAATTGCTGTGAAGAGTTACCACGACCAAGGCAACTCATCAAATAAAGCATTTAATTGGACTTGATTACAGTTTCAGAGAGTGAGTTCGTGGTCATCTTGGCAGGGAGCGTGGCAGCCGGCAGACAGGCCTAACACTGGATCAGTAGCTGAGAGCTTACTTGTTGAGACACAACCACAAGGCAGAGAGAAAGAGAGAGAGAGAGAGAGAGAGAGAGAGAGAGAGAGAGAGAACTGAAAATGATGTGGGCGTTTGAAATCTCAAGCCCACCCCCAGTGACACACCTCCTCCAACCAGGCCACACCTCCTAATCCTTCCCTAACAGTTCTATCCATCTGTGGTCCAAGCATTTGTATATGAGCCTATGGGGCCATTCTCATTCAAACCATCACAAATGTTAAGGGCTAGATTTGAATTTTTCAGGATTCTGTAGGCCTGAGTGTCAGTTCATAGCTGTGATCAGCTTGTGATATTTAAGAATTAAAGACTTGGGACTGGAGAGGTGGCTCAGTGGTTAAGGGCACTTGCTGCTCTTTCAGAGGACCTGGGTTTCCCAGCACCCACATGGTGGTTCACAACCATCTGTAACTCTAGTTCTAGGGGATCTGAGTCCTTCTGACCTCCAAAACTACCACCAAGCATGCATGTGACACACAGACATGCATGCAGGCAAAACACACACAAAATAAAATGAATAAATCTAAAAAAAAAAAGAAAAACATTAAAAAAAAAGAATTAAGACTCATTTGCATTAGCCATAAAATGAAACAGATTGTTATTGTTCTTGGAAGAAAACAACCAATTGTATTCCTTAGCAATATGGAAACACAATATTGAGATATTTATGGGAGATTGTGTCCACTCAGTGAGTTGGGGGGTTGTAGGGGAGAAAAGGAAGAAAATAGGCATGCATATGAATGGAGTTTGTGGAAGTAATGAAGAAGTTGTCTAAGTTATCAAGCAGCAGGGCCTAAGAGCTAACTGAGCCAAATGTTTGCTCAAAACTGGGAAGTTAATGCAACACCAAGCTCTCCATAATGAATCACTAAAGGATGCTAAAGAAGAGAGAAGCACAAATGCGTCCCTGAAGGCTGAGACTGTGTCTTGTCCCATCCACAACCTTGGCAGGTAGGAGGTACTTAATAAACATTTGGGGCCAAATCAGTGAAGACATTTTGGGAGTGAGAACACTGTGACGATCGGTATATAATCACAAAGAAATTCAGCATTTTAACTGTGTGTTTCATGAAAGAGTGAGGCGCTTTATGCTAATGAGTCTGTATCATCACATCTTTCAAATTTTGCAATGCCAAGGGAGTGCACATGAGACTTCCATGCAAGTTTTATGATGAGGAACCTTATGACATTATAAATATTCACTGCTTTGAATCGATAAGCATGACACATTCAAATGACTCAACCTGATATTTTTCTCTGGAGAACAATGTCTACATTTAAAAACCTGGCTAAGGGGCTGGGGAGATTGATGGTTCAATTGGTAAAGGGCCTCGTGTGGCAGACTGCATCTGTAAACCCAGCGCTGAGAGGAGATGGAGGTAGGCATATTCCTTCCCCTTGGCCAGTCACCCTAGCCAAATACATGAGCTCTGAGTTCAGGGAAAGACCCTATCTCAAAAAATAAAATGAGAGTGATTGTAGAATATACTTGACTCAACTCCTGGTCTCCACATTTTCATGCATTCATGCTTGCACACATGTGAACACATATAAATACATCTCACACACAAATACAAAGAAACAAAGCCAGACTATCACGCTTTCTGTAAACGATGAATCACAAAGACATGCTCTGGCGCTAAATTGGATGAAATGAGAACCTGTTTCTAAGACCTCCCTTGAAACAGGTTTTCAAGCAATTTTACTCAGAGCAAATTCCGGGGTATCCATGCATATTTTTAAAAATAAACAAAACATAGATTATTCTACTGGATTAGATGAAAAATAAGAGGAAAGAGTCCCCAAAATAAGTTTGAAATTTGAACAAAAGAAAGGATTGTACAATTCCATGACTAAACCAAAAGCACCAAATGGTATATTTTTCAAAAGTGTATTTTGTCCACTTTTGTATTGATTACATGTTAATCAGATCGGTTTTTTTGTTTTTTTTTTTGTTTGTTTGTTTGTTTGTTTTTTACTAGAAGAGACTAGAGCTCCAGAGAACGAAAATGCAAATGTGTTATCTGGACCAGTCTGCAACTCCAAGATGGAAACATCCCTGCCAAGTCCCAGACTGCCAACCTTCACAGCATCGTCTCTGCAAATGTTCCCGGTCCTACCTCGCACCCATGCCAAGTCATGAGTACAAAAATGTTTGCAGTATTAATAGTCTTTGGTATTTCTAGTGTGATGCTTGAATTCCAGAAAGGGATCCCCTGAACATTCCTAAACTGAACACTGGTAGGGACTGTCTTCGTGCTGAATGCTAGCTAGCTCTTTATGAGGAAGGTCTTTTCTCAAACCTCTCTTGTCTAATTAGGGTCACATGTCTGATTATAGGATGCAGAATACATACATAGTGTTGCCTTATTGGTCGTGATCCTTCATGGAGACAAAGGAATCATTAATCCCCATGAAAGTTCAGAAAACTTAGCAGTATATGCTTACTCACAGACCTGATTTGAGAGTATGGATGGATATGGGCTTCTTTGAAAAAGATGCAGTAAGACTAACCCAAGTGTGGATGAGTTTAGTACATTGTAAATGGAGGCAGAGCTTTTCTTTATCCTGACCGCCCAGTCCCAAATAAACACACAAACGCTTATATTAATTACAAAATGTTTGGCCAGTAGCTCAGGCTTATTACTAACTAGCTCTTACATTTAAATTAACCCATTTCTATTAATCTATGTGTTGCCACATGGTTTTACCGGTCCTCTGGCATCTTGGTTCTTAGGTGGCCAGCTCACATCTCCCAGACTCCACCCCCTCTTCCTCTAAGTCCCCCGTTTGATTGCTCTGCCTAACCTTATCCTGCCTTGCCATAGGCCAAAACATCTTTATTCTCAACCAATGAGAGCAACACACATTTACAGTATACAGAAGGACCATCCCCCAGCAGCATATATTCTTTTCCTGTAAATTTAGTTTCTGATAAGGTTCCCAGAAAATTGAATGTTTATAGCTGAGATGGGAGAAAGGCCTGAAGCAGTTATTAACTGTGCTGGAATTCTTGTTTCTCTGTTGGCAAGCAGCATGAGCCTGATGCCTGTGTGAGGGGGGCCCCCTTCCCTCTCACTTCCCCGTAGCTTCCCCTGTCTCCCCAGTCAGCCTCAGGTTGGAATGACTGTTTCTGGATTTTCCTTTCCTTGAATTCTCTCTGCTCTGTTTGTTTTACACTTGTCATCACACATCATAATATTACTCTATTACCATTGCATCTTAAGATCAGCTAGATGCCCTGTTCTTAATAACAATCTTAATTATCGGTGATAATTACAATTTGTTGCAAAATGAGTCACAAACTCAGACATTCCTATAATTTATAGTAACTTGCTCTGACCACAATGAGCAAATATAGTTTTAAAGTATATTTTTCTTTTTCTTCTTCTAAGGTTTATTTATTTATTATTTATTTATGTATGTTGGTGTCTGCGTGTGTATCAGCACACCAGGAGAGGGTATTGGTTCCCATGGAACTACAGTTATAGACGGTTGTGAGCCACCCTATGGGTTCTGGATATTAAACTAAGGACCCGTGGGTCAGCAGCCAGTGCTCTTAACTGCTGAGCTACCTCTTCAGTCCTTAAAAAATATTTTTAAAGCATCTCTTTTATTCAAGAGATAGAATCAAAGGGGAGATAAAATTTATTAAACACAAGAGGTGTCTTTGGAATTATGTTGTTTTTTTTTACATTTGTTTATTTATTTAAGTATTTGAGACAAGGTCTTGTTATGTAGCCAAGACTGATGGAAATCAGGATCCTCCTGCTTCAATTTCCCAAATTCTGAGAATTTGAGGAATAAGTCACTACAATGAGTGACACTATGTTTAAATGTCATGGTGAAGACAAAAAGAAACAGCCTTTTTTATTAGAGAACTCCCAACCAGCTGAGAGGGTGAATAAGCATTCTATTCCAATCTCCAACCATGCACATCCACACGCCAGCAAGAGAAAAACGTTTCACATAAAGAAAGGAGCATCCTGCTGGGCAGTGGTGGTGCATGCCTGTAATCCCAGCACTTGGGAGGCAGAGTCAGGCAGATCTCTGTGAGTTCGAGGCCAGCCTGGTCTACAGAGCGAGTTCCAGGAAAGGCACAAAGCTACACAGAGAAACCCTGTCTCAAAAAAAAGAAAAGAAAAAAGAAAGGAGTATCTGAGTTTCATCAGGTGACTTGCCTACACTAACTAAAAGCAGGTTTTCAGGAATGCTGTCTTGCAATAACATAATTCTGGAAGAAAAAAGCCACCGTCCAATAATCACCAATAAATTTTTCTTTTCCTGGAGTGCAGAGTTCCATACAAACCAATATAAACTTACGAACAGAGAAGCCATAGCTTTTACATGCGAGTTCCCTAAAACCCAAATTTAAGTTTCCCAAACGATGAAGAAAAAAAAAAAAAAAAGGTTTTTTTTTCTATGCCCCTCCCCTGCCTTGAAGTTCAACAGGAAGTGTCAAAGAGAAATCTGTTCTTAGAAGATTCTCTCCCAGAAGCTAAAGGATTTCCATTAAAATATAGCAAATAGGACTGTTCCCCTGAGATTTCTAACCTAATTAGTCAGACAAAAACATCTTTCAGATATTTCTCTGCTCATGTGTTTGGAGAGGATTTAAAAAAAAA